GGGAGGGGAGGGGGGATAGGGGGGGCAGAAAAAGAAAGAAAAAAAGAAAGAGAGAGAAAAAGCAAATGCAAAGTTATGTCGGGCGTGATCTCACATTGAGACAACACACGCACCACACACACACACACATTGCCGAGGTTGAATGCCCTTCGACCACGACCACGAAGAAACGAATGATGATGATGATGAAGAAGAAGTAAAGAAGAAGAAGAAGAAGAAGACGAAGCACACGGATTAGTGCGCAGCTACTAACGTAATCGTATGCCTGGTGAATATTTCATGAAGCGCGGAAAAAGGAGATGACACCTGTTCGAAAACCGTTAGCGTACTCCTTCTGTCCCCCTCCTTTCCCCCCCCCCAGCCCTCTTTCGTTTCTACCTCTCCGTTCTTCTTCTCTTCTGATATCCGTCGGGTGAAACGACGACGACGACGACGACGACGACAAACGAACGTTCCTCCCCTCCACCCCACTTCCCCCGTCTTATTTCGATGTAAATTTTCAAAAAAAAAAAAAAAATATTCTTTTCGTCCTACCAAAAAACCCATTGATTTTTACCAAAGTTAGAATATAATTAAATGTGTGTGTGTGTGTGTAATATATTATTCTATTCTTATCTAACGATAATTCACACATAGATTTTGTGTTTTAATCCTTCGCGTGTTCGTAGATTAATTTTTCTTTTGGTAAACGAATCATTTTATTAATTGGATGAAATATATTTTTTTTCTCGTATATCATATTATTTAAATTTGATGAATAATCATAATAAATCGCGATTATATATATAGAGAGAGAGAGTCATAAATAAATATGAAATTTATATCGTATAAGAAATTTTTGTTGAACAAATAAATTAATCGTAACGTTCGATAAACAAAAATCTACGTTATATTTCGCGATCGATAAAATTTCTAATATTTCTTGTCGCGAATAAATTAACATATTTTTTTTTTTTGGTCTCTAACGTATTTCACGGAAATATCATTATCGACATTTATTACCTGTTAGTTTTTTTTTTTTCTTCTTCTTCTTTTTCTTTAAAACGAATTTAAAAGTATTCGAATAACGCGTGGCAATGTTGATAAAAGTATTTTAAAATGAACATAGACATTTATTACCATTAGGAATCCCACAAATACGATGTAATCATTTCTATCCTGAGTAATTATTATATTCTTTATACATATATATTGATTTTAAAGAGATAAATTAAATGATAGTCGTTAAAAGGACTATTATTCTAATACTCGATCGCGCGTATCGTATCGAATAATGATTTTAACATATTATAACTTAGAAAAAAAAACGAATTCCAAACACACGAGAGATCCTAGATGCATCTATACATGTAATCTTACGTATCTCAAATAATTATTATATTTCCTTATATTGATTTATTAAAGATATCATTACTAGCAAGTAAATTAAAAAGGATCATAATCGAATGCACGATCAAATACCAAAAACAAAAATAATATATTCATTTGAAATAATAATTACAACATATTAACTTAGAAAAAAAAAACAAAAAAGAAACAAACTCGACAAAGTTTAACATTAAATGTTTAAACACACGAGAGAACCTGGTACACGTGTATACGTGTACGCATATGCGTGCATGCCTGTGTATGTAATCTTACATTATTTAGAAACAAATCGATCTACTGTCGTAAGACACACGACACGGGAGCAAAGAGCAAACGTTTCTCGAATCCGCTAACCGGAATGAGTTCGCTAACTTCTCGTCTCAGTTGGGTCCGCGAAGTGGTTGGGTGCTCGACTTGGTTCCGAAGCGTCCAGGGAGAGAAGAAACCATTGGAGTAAAAGAGACAGACAGACGGACAGACAGAAAGAACGAGAGAGAGAAAGAGAGAGAGAGAAAGAATGATGAAGAAGAAGAAGAGAGAAGAGAAGAGAAGAGAAGAGAAGAGGTTGTTGTAAGGCCCGCGGGAATGGGGCCTCTCTCTATTCGTACGAGAGGGAATGAGGAGGTCGATGAGAGGAGGAAAGATGAGGATTGGTAGATCGAAGATGAGTGCAAGAGAGAGAAAGAGAGTTGGTCCCGAAGCACGTGGAGATCCCAGGCACATTGCGCTGAGGATCACGGCGGCACGAAAATTTGGTGAGGCCCTCCTCCTTGCCTCCCGACCAACCACATTCCCTCCCCACTTTTCGAATTTACTCGTAAGAGAACCTTATCCGCTTGTTGGATGTCTCGCCGCGGTTTCGTACAATCCGCACGCGTTAACATTGCCAAACGGTGGACGGATGGACGGACGGACATTCCGCGAGAATAATTTATGTTAAATTCGAGTAATTAATTTTTCGAAAAATCGATTAATTACTCGATGACTTATTTTGTCGAATTTTTTTTCTTTTTTTTAAATTGAATCGTTTGTAAACTATATATTTTCTTCTTTTTTGACTTTTCTAACTTTGCTTATTGAGTCGAAGTATTGTTTTAAGGATTTGTTTATAAGTTTTGTGCGGTTTTTTTTTTTAAATATATATTTCACACTCGTGTATAAATGTAATTTTAATCATCGTTACTGAAATAACATTATAATCGTACGAATTTTCTGGTTCATTCTAATATTTAAAAAATATGTAGTTTCATTTTTATTTTGATTATCTGTAACCTGTTAAATTGTCTTTCTTTTTTTTTATTTATTTATTTTTTCGCGTAGCATAGTATAGGGATACGTGCGTCGTGCTAGTATTAAACAAATATTTTCTTATTCTTTTTCGTTTTGTTTTGTAAATGACGTGTAATATATGCGATACATGTAATTAATAATTAACGACGGATTATACGTAATATATATTTTGTTTGTTTATAGATTATATTGGATACTTTAAATAGTATCCAATCGATTAAATGGAATAATATTATAATCAGGTTTCATTGAGTATGTTTTTGATGGATATTAAATTTTTTAACACGTTTCTATCGATTTATTGTGAAAATTCAGGTAAACGAGCCGTGGAAAATGAGGACACCTATGTATGTATATATATGTATATGTATTCGCATTCCACGGACTATATGGATACTTTGATTCGTTAAACGATATCGGATACGTTGAACAAACATCTGCTGTGTGAATACATATATATATTAGTTAAATCCATTTGAATAGCCACGTTCAATTCGATATACGTGTATCTATACGTGGGCTATAAATCCGAAAAGATTTTTATCCAACGGATGATTACAAATTTTACACTTGTATGAGAGAGTTAATTAGTCGGAGAACGATTATATCGATTAATAATTGTTACCATTAAAATTGTCCGGGAATGTTTAAACACGAGATATATATATATATATGACTTTATCGAGTTCATTGGTTTCTCATTCATATTGTTCTCGATTCTTAATGAGAACAATGCAACATTTATCGATTAATCGTTCAAACTAATATAATCCTTATATTATAATGATATTAATTATTAAGATAATACCCCCCTGCTGATTGCGTATGTTATGGCTACAAAAAAACTGAGTATCTTTGACAAATTACAATTTATTATTAATATTGAATAAAACTTTTGTATATAAGAATCATTTTTTTATGATAGCCAAATAATTAAACAAAAATATATCGGATTTAATCGAACACTCTGACGCCATTCTAAATAAGATATCATATTATTATTATTAATATGACAATTGAAATGATGAAATAATTTACCTCGCGATCTTGGAGTGTGTGGATCGTCACCACGTGTTAGCTGGAACCGAACGGTTCCTCGTGCCGCATCCCGACATACAACTTTTATCTCCTTATCGTTTTCGTCCTTTCTCGTGTCTGTCTGTATGTCTGTCTGTCTTTCTTTCTTTCTTTTCCTTTATTCTTCTTTCTAAATATTTCCAGGTATCCGATTGTATAAACTTTCGATCTCTTCTCGTGAGTTATAACGCGAGAAACGTAATAAATGATGATTAATCTGATTAATAAGTTCGTTATCTAACACTTTATCGACACACTCGTCTAGACTTTCAATCAGACAAAGTTTCTCGTAATAATTTGTTATATAATAGTAATCGTAAATTGTAAATCGTAAATCGTAAATGGTCTTTTAGTTTCTCTCTCTCTCTCTTTTAACGATAGTTTCAATCCGTCACTTAACACAATTCACCGGTGCCCCGTGACCTCCTTGCCGGCGTTTACCTTGGCGCGGTAGCGAGCATCGCGCAAACTCACAAAGAGATTATTACAGGTGTTCGTTTTTTTCTTTTCCTCTACGCGCATGCGATTCAAAAACGTGGACGATTTCAAACCGATATTTCTAACGATATACCGAATACCAATATTAAAATATTAATAAAAACAAGAAAAAGAAAAAAAAGGGGAAGGAATAAACACTTGTTAAAGTTAATATAATTAATCCCGTTAACGCGGGAATTTCGACACGACCCTATAATGTTTTCTCAACTTTTCTTTTTTCTTTTTTAAATAAAAAAATTCGATAACAATTGTAACACAAGAAAACGTAAAGAAAGTTAATTAATCTACTTATTCGTTTTACTTGATATTATAGTTCAATAATATACGCCTAAGTCTCGTTAACCGTATTAGAATGTAGAGGCACGCCGGTTCACGGTTCCGTTCCGTTTCGTTCCGTTCGCGACGAAGATGTTCTGTCGACTGATAACCTGCCGTCTACTTACCTCCGGCGAGCGCCCCTAACGCGCAGAACTCCCTGGCACGACAGGTGCTCCTACGGAGGAGTGGGAATAAGAGGATGGCTTGGTTCTCTCTGGGCAGGAGGGGACAGGGATAGGCTTCGGATTCTCCGTGCCGTTGGAGGCAGCAGCCAGTGGCGGCCGCTGTTACGGCAACCAGTGGCGGCAACCACTACCGTCACCGTATACGCATCCGTCCTTTGCAGATAGAAAGAGAACGAGAAGGAACGAGATGCATAGAAAGAGACAAATTCAAAGGAGAAGGAGAAGAAAGAAAGAAGAAGAAGAAGAAGAAGAGGAGGAGGAGGAGGAGGAGGAGGACGATGTAAGTGGCGGTGGTTGTAATGGTGGTGGTGGTTGGTTGGTGATGGTGGTGGTGACGGCAGGGCGAACAGCCCGCTAGCAACGAAGCACCAACATCAGCAGCACCAGCAGCAACGAAGAGAGAGGCCAACGACACTGCTGTTCTGACTCTCGGTGTACTTCGAACGGGCTTCGACACATTTACCGAAAACTTGGCCGCCACCGTCACCGTCACAGTCACCGTCACAGTCACAGTCACCGTCACCGTCATCGCCACCGGCGCTGCCGCCACTGGCCAACCAACCTTCTTCGACAGGATTCTCCGAATCCCTTGGAAATCGAACGCCCCGAGTAATCGGCCCAGACTTTTCGTCGTGATTCAAAGTCCGCTCGCGGTCTCCTCATGGAATGCGTCTACCTCCTCCTCCTCTTCCTCCTTCTTCTTCTTTCCCCCTTCTTCCTTGGCCCACCCCACTTTTCTTTCCTTGTCCGTTGCATCGTGCCGGACGTCCCGTTGCATATTCGCCGTCTTTTCTACCTACCTACCTACCTACCTACCACCAGTCCCCTACCTGGCCCTTTAATTAAGCTTTTTCGCATTTGACCGAAGAAGAGACCTTAGCCACTGACTAACATTTTCCAAACTTATTTGACAATTTTTTCCTTTCCTTACATTATTTCTTTCTTTTTATCTCTCTTTCTTATCGGGTCGACCCACCACCCTCACCCTCCTCGATAGTAGTTCTACATTTTTCTTAGAAAATTCTACGACCCCCAAAGATTACATTTATAAGTGATTTATAATATATCATATCTTAAAACATTTGATCGATACAAAATCTCTATATCTCGTTTTAAATTCAAATATTGTGATATTTATTTAACATCGATAAATTAGGGCTGTTCTTTTTTTTTTATTTCTTACTCGATCCCATTGAAATCTTACTTTTATCATTATACTTTAGACGAGAGTAATATCTCTAGAGAAAGGATCTATGATGTTTCTTTTCTGAATGTGATACGTATGCAATTACGACGACAACGACGACGATTCTCAGATGTTAACTTGATTTATCCTACCCTCTGAAAAACTTAGTCCTATCAGCAACCGAGTATTCGATCTTGTCTCTCTTTCTTTCTTTCTTTCTTTCTATACAAGAAGGACATTCGAAAAATTAGTATATCAGGATCATCATCGAACACAGATCGCCGCCGTTGGTTGGTCATTCTCGATCGTTGGCCCCTGCCCAGGCCCCTGCCCAGGCCCCTTTCGTAGCCGGGCGCATTTTCCACCTCCCACCCTTCTACTATACTTATTTCTTTCTCTTTCTTTCTTTTACTTTCTTGAACCCTCTCTCCTTTTTTCTCTTGTCTCTACCGCTATCGCACCATTTCATCCTCCTCCTCCTCCTCCTCCTCCACCTCCTCCTCCCCCTTCTTCGTCTTCTTCTTCTTTTCTTCTTTCTCCCCCACATCCTTTTCTTACCGACATGAGTGCACTTTCCCCCTAACCAATCAGCTTTTCTGTTTCCTCGTATTCTTCTTCGAATGGGAGAATACACTGTTCACATCTATCCAGAGACAAGACAAATTATCTCCGGATAATCTCTGACAAATTGCTTTCAAGTGTGATCAATTTTCCTCTACCTATTTTTTTTTTTTTTCTCTTGCTTTTTGTTGTTATCATCGTCGTTAATATATATATATATATCTTTGACAAATAAATGAAATTGCAATTGAATTTATATGGGGAAAATATATCATAACGAATAATAATAATAATAATATATTATTTATATCGCGTTTTTAAATTGAAACCTATAAGAAAATTTATAATATAATTGACAATACAAGTAATGTTAATAGAAAATAAAAAAAAAAAAAAAATCTATTTATTTTATAATCGACGAAACAAACTAAAGTAGGATTAAACTATCTGAAGATTTCCTGAGCCATGGAGCTCAACGTGAGCCTTGCTTGAGCCTTGCCATTGGATCGTGGACAGCGAAAAAAGAGACATTTTCCGTTTTCAAGATCGCGCTAAAAACCCGGTGTAGTCTCCTGCGCGCGTTCTGAGAAGGATCGGGGTCGGCAGGAGAGAGAGAAAAAGAAAGAAAAAGAGAGAAAAAGAGAGAGAGAGAGAGACGACGGGACGGGAAGGGTGGGGAAGGGGAGGGGGAGGGGGAAGAAGAAGAGTGCGATGAACACAGCGATCCGAACCGATCCACCAAGCGAGGCTAGTCAACATGAGAAGAGAAGAGAAGACCCAGTGAAGAGATGAGATGAGAAGATGAGAAGATGAGAAGATGAAAAGAGAGAAGAGAGAAGAGAAGAGAGAAGAGAGAAAAGAGACGAGACAAGACCGAGGACGAGGTGAGGCGTCGTCGTGCGCTTAACTGCCCTAAAAGGCAGTTCTCTCTTTACTCGATAGTCATTGTTGTTCTCCAATAGTATTGCTTACCCATCATCATGTCTATCGAGAATCCTCCCGAACGTTTATTGTCTGCCCATCTAAAACGCGATATAAATCTATATTGATTCTTTTTATTCCCCTATATTTTTCTTTTTTTTTTTTTCTGCTTTTTATTCTTTTTGTTTTAATAAGTAGATCTATAGGTATATGTGTTTAGTAATTATGATAATTTGTATTAATCTGTGTAAGTTAATAAATGATTATAATTTATTTATATATATATATATTTGATGATTTATTTATGTATTAATATATTATATTATTTGATATATGTGATTAAAATATATATTGATATTAAAATTGGTATTCTTGTCGTGTTCTATGCAAGCGTTGAAATCTCCAAGAATATATGAAATATTTCACATTTAAATTCTTCCATAAAGTATTTATCGGGGGTTTTTTTTCTTTCTCTTCTCGTACTTTGGTATTTTTCTTTAAAGAATATCTATTAAAATCAAGAAATTTCTTTCTTATTCATAATATCTGATTTTTAATTTTATAATATAAATAATTGTAATATTATATAAATCATATAGGATCAATTTTTTTTCTCTTTTTTCATTTCCATTTCTTTTGAACCTCAGTTAACGTTTATAGTGTTACTGGTATTTATGTTAAATGGATCCGATGAATAAATAAAAAAAAATATAAATTCGTAAACTTTTTCCCACGAATTGACCGCACAAATGTACGAGCAGTGTTTACGAAGATTAAAACATGAAGAAATAATTGTATAGGTTCGAAGATGAAAAGAAATATTGTTCGGCGTAATATAGAAATTTTGGTTTGGTGAATTATAACTCTTGTGGTATCTTTAATAAATAAGAGAGAGAGAGAGAGAGAGAGAGGGAACGTTTCTTAGCACTCTGCAGCATGTGTATGAAAAAGAGAGAGAGAGAAAATTGATGCTACGGATAATATTAAAATTTACATTACAACTTTGAGAGTGAAAAATTTCGCGTGCATGAGAAAGAGAGAGAGAGAGAGAGAGAGAGAGAATGTCTTGGAATCGAATTGGCCACACCATACTGAACTGCATCGTACTGTACCGTATCGTACCGTACCGTATCGCGAACGGAAAGTTGTATGCGATAAACGGGTTAGTCGTAACATCGTAGAAACGAGAAACAACTTGCTGGATTGCGAGAGACGATTACTCGTACGATAATACACGACGATGATGATGATGATGATAATGATAGCACATATTTCTTATTTGTAGTTGCAATATACAACAATAAGATACGTTTAATCGTGTGCATCCAAAAAAATATTAATCGAAAAGATGATAATATTTAGAAAATTGAAATCAAAATCTTTTTCCCATCTAATTTATAATTAACCCCATAAGTGTTTTTTCTTTTTTTTTTTTTCAAAATAATATATATTGTTACAAAAGTAAGATAAAGGAGTAAAACAGACCAAATAATTCAGCATAGAATCAGTTTTAATTTCTTACTAATGGTAGGCATCATTTAATTTTAACGAACGGGGAAAGGAACCGCCCTTTTTTTTTTACCCTCCAAGTTTACCATTATTTTAACCATTCTATCTTGTAAATTACATTTCGAAACGTATATACCACAACCAATTCACAATAATACCTTCTTGCCTTTGCCTCGTTCCCAAATATGAGAGAGAAAGAAAGAGGTGGAACCAATTTTTTCACGTTCTCGACGTCTTCACTGACGTTCAACATTTTCCCCTGTTTCGCGAATAACGACGTGAAATTCCTACTGTTACAGGAAGAAATAAAAATGTCGCTCGCATTTCGGCGCCTTCTTTTGAGAAATGCGACGAACATCGTTGATCCTTCACCTTGAAAGAAAAAACGAATAATAAGTTGACTGAATGCATGAACAAGAACAAGAACAAGAAGATGAAGAAGAAAAAGAAGAAGAAAAATAAGTATGGGGAAAATAAGAAAAAAGAAATAAAAAATAAAACACATGGAGAAAAAGAGAGAGAGAGAGAAAAAATATCAGTGTGTTTTCAACGTCGCGATGATCTCGGTTCGTTCACTTTCGTGCTCGCTGAAACGTTCTCGTCTGATTCTCACGAGGTTGTCGAGTTCGCGATCGATTTGATCGTGATGCCAGACCCTAGACCACGTTCGTGCGTGTCATACAAGCACGTGATGTGCATTCTCGAACAGTCAAGTTGAAAGAATA